AGCTACACCAATGTCGATATTTTCTGTAATAAATAAACCATTTTTTTGGCTTTTTTTGCATAACATAAATGTCGATATTTTCTTGCATATTTTGTTATACACTTTCATCGGTTTGAATTCTCTCTCTAGGTGTTAATTAAGTTGAGCAGCTCGAATTTAATTCGATTATGAGGAACACTTTTCTCAGGAAACAAAGGTAATCTTCTCTCTTTAAGAATTAAACATGAGTTTGTTTAGATATAAATGCATATTGATTTCGATGAAATATATGTGAAAGTGATTAGTTCTATACTATGTAGTTCTATATATGCACCCTTATAATTTTTATAAAATAACAGAGATACAATTGCTCCCATAACATTTTATAATTTTAAAAGTCGTATAATTTAGGAGTGATTAGTTCTATACTATGCAAATAGTAGTATGCACTAAATCTGATAGTTTAATGTTTATGTTTAGGTTCAAACTTTTTCTATAATATTAGCATTTAACATTTGAAATTGAAACTCCAGAAATACGAAATGGATAAGACTTGGATGGATTTCTCAAGGGTGAGCGTCGAGCATCGAAATGGAGTCGAAAACTTTCTAAATTTAGCTTTTCTGAATGCAAGCCAGGAGAATATGATTCTTTGCCCTTGTAAGAACTGTGTTAACATTAACTGTTATATTCGTGAAGTTGTGTACGAGCATCTAGTTGTTTTTGAATTTGCTCGGGGGTATAGATGTAGAGTTTGTATCAGATAGATCTGTTTCCACGAGTTATTCAACTTATCCTGCTCATTCTCACCATCCAACTTTTAGAGAAGATGACATGGAAGGGATGTTACGAGATGCATTTAATATGCACAATAGTCAGCCGTGTGTTACAGAAAATTATTGGCAGAATGATGTTAATGATTCCATTGAGATGGGAAGAATTAGATGCGATGAAGAGCCAAATGGAGAAGCGGAAAAGTTTTACAAGTTGCTGAATGAAATGAATGAACAACTTTATGACGGATCAAAGTTTTCAAAGCTTTCTTTTTGCATTCGTCTTTTCCACTTAAAATACCTGGGAGGGTGGACTGGGAACTCCTTTACGCAATTATTGAAGTTACTAGGAGAAGTGTTTTCTTTTGCAAAAATCCCTCAATCATGCAAAGATATGAAGAAAATGATAAAAGATTTGGGTCTTGGATATGACAAAATTCATGGTTGTCTGAATGATTGTATATTGTATTGGGGTGATCGAAAAAATTAGGAGTCTTGTCATTAATATGGAAAATCTCGATGGATGAGTAAGGAGGCAGAAAATGTTATTGAGGATGAAGCTCAAGAACCATCAAGAAAGAAACCGGTCAAGATTCTCCAATATTTTCTTCTCATACCTAGGCTACAAAGATTGTTTATGTCCTCCAAGACTGCTGAGTCTATGAGGTGGCATCATGATGGTAGAACCGATGATGGATTATTAGGGCATCCTGCAGATTCTTTAGCTTGGAAATCATTTGAGAATAAGTATCCAAGTTTTGCAAGAGATCCTCGAAATGTCAGGCTTGGCCTTGCAACTGATAGGTTTAATCCATTCAAAATCATGAGTACTTCGTATAGTACTTGGCATGTTGTACTTGTTCCATACAATTTGCCTCCCTGGATTTGCATGAAACAATAATATTTCATCTTATCCATGATAATCCCCGGTGACAAAGGCCTTGGAAATGATATTGATATTTACATGCAGTCGCTAATTACAGAGTTGAAATAATTATGGGAAGGGGTCAAAACGTACGATGTGTTGACGAAAGAGAACTTTCATTTACGCGCGACTTTATTATGGACAATTAATGATTTTCCTGCGTATGCAAATTTATCTGGTTAGAGTACCAAAGGTCGTTATGCTTGTCCTTGTTGTGCTGCACAAACATGTTCGAAGTGGTTGGTTAATGGAAAAAAGTTCTCTTATATGGGACATCATCGGTGATTACCTGATAATCATAGATTTAGATGTCAAAAGAATATGTTTGATGGTGATGAAGAGTTTCAAAATGCTCCTGACCAAACAACCGGCTCTGAAATATTCAGAATGTTGAAAAATATCAATTTTACTTATGGAAAGATGAATCAACCAAGTAGTACACGATCAAAGAAAAAGGCAAAGCAGGTCAATGAAGAGGTTGAAGTTGACAAACAAACTGATGATGAGTCTGATGAAGAGGATGATCCAAATGAGGTAGACTTGTGGAAAAAGAGGAGTATATTCTTCTAGTTTCCTTATTGGAAAAAAAAGATTTTGAGACATAATCTTGATGTAATGCATATTGAGAAGAATGTTTGTGAGAATATTATCGGGACCATTCTGAATGATGGCAGAAAATCTAAAGATAATCTTAAGAGTCGCCTTGACTTAGTGGAGATGGGAATTCGACATGATCTTCATACACAATTACATCCGAATGGAAGATATTTTTTCCGCCTTCTATTTTTTCTCTTTCGAAGAAAGAAAAAGAATTGTTTTACGCGGTGTTGAAGGATATAAAGGTCCCAGATGGGTATGCATCAAGCATTTCTCGATGCGTCAGTGTTAAAGATCGAAGACTTTATGGTTTAAAGTCACATGATAATCACATATTAATGCAAGATTTACTCCCAGTAGCTGTTCATGGTTGCATATCGAGTAAGTTGACGTCTTGTATCATTGAACTTTCTAATATAATGAAAGCCATCTGTGGGAAAGTTCTAATGGTTGAAGAACTTGATAAACTACAAGATCGAGTCACCTTGACTTTATGCAACTTGGAGAAGATATTTCCACCTTCATTCTTCACAATTATGGTGCATCTGCTAATTCATCTTCCTCACGAAGTAAGAGTTGGTGAACCAGTTTTCTATCGATGGATGTACCCTACAGAGAGGTGTTAATTGAATTACACGTTTCAAATTACTACTGATTATACCTTTTAATAAAATGTATTTACATAGTATGTTGTTTTGTCTATAGGTTCTTGGGAAAGTTGAAGTCTTATTGTCGTAATAAGCATTATGCGGAAGGATCAATTGCTGAAGGGTATTTGGCAGTGGAATGTATGACATTTTGCTCTAGATATTTGGAAGATGTTGAAACAAGATGGATAGACCAAATCAAAATGATGTATCAAGTACTGATGACTTACCTCAACATTATTTGTTTGGAAGTTATGGTCAACCATTAGGGAAAGTTGAAATTGCATACTTAGATGACACGTCTTGGGTACAAGCACACCGATATGTTCTTTTCCATCACGATTCTATATATCCCTTTCTCACGTAAGTCTTTCGGACCCAAGCTATATGAAATCTCTTAATCTTTTATATATATCAATTTTTAACAACATAATATACTTTATAGTGAGTTTAAAGAAGTATTGAGACCTCGTGCATGCTCCCAAAGATTAAATCAGCGAGAGCTACATAAGTTATTCACAGAAACTTTTCATGAATGGTTAGGCCAGACGGTAAGCAACTAAATCTTACGCAATACTTATAAAAAATATATGTCTTGCTTTTTATATTGACATCAATGCAAATTAATTCACCATTCATGTGTAATAGGTTTGGAGTGGGAGAGAAGTTAGTGAAGATGTTAAATGGCTTTCTCAAGGTCTGAATAGAATAGTTAAAAGATATAATGCCTTCCTCATTAATGGGTTCAGGTTCCACACGAAATCTTGTGAAAGATTAAGGAGGATACAAAATTGTGGAGTTGTAGTTATTTCGTCAACTACAAGTTATGCTAGTGTCAGGGATAATAATCCGCAGGAGGGAGAGGTCGATTATTATGGAAATCTTACGTACATTATTGAGTTAGATTATTATGGAAAACGAAAGGTTGTGTTGTTTTAGTGTGACTGGGTTGATGTAAACAGATGCATAAAAAGAGATAAATTCGGGTTTACAATGGTGAATTTCTCTTGATTTATTCATACGGGTCAATGTTTGATGGATGAACCATATGTATTTTCTTCTCAAGTGAAACAAGTACTTTATTGTCACGATCCAATGGATGACGGTTAGTATGTTGTGCTCCGAAATACTCCCAGAGACTTGATAGACATCGAGGATTGAAGTAGAGATGAAATTGAAACAAGATCATAATGTTTACCTCTACTACCACAAAACTTAGATGAAACTATCATAAATACAACACAATTTCAATGGGTTCGGGAGGATGTTGATGAAGATATTTATGACACCTGACATTACATAAGAATGTAGTACGATTTTATATCTTTATTTATTTATTTATAATGTTATAACCTTTAACATATTGTCTTTCAATATATTCATTAATTAATTCATTTTTTTATTACACATGTTTGTTTATTATATATATCATGCTGAGGAGAAAAATAATTGATTTGCGGGTCGTTCGAGCTTCTGAAGACCATGAAGAAAGAAATAACGAGGAATCAAATGCACCTGAGTCTTCCGAAGTTCCTGAAACTGTTGAAGAAGAAGTAGAAATTCAAGGTAATATTCGAAACTTTATTTACTACTTTGTTCATTTTTAAAACTGACATTTAATAATTTCTTATATAGTTGAAAATGCTGGAACGTGCAAGACTCGAGGACGCACAACTTTGAAGAGATTATATCAACTTCCTCATGGGCATCGTGTCAAAGTTTCAAGAAACGATGCCGGTCAACCTATTGGCCTAGAAGCACGTCTTCTAGTAGGTTACTTAGGCATAGTTGACGTAATGCGAATCTGTTACCGATCAATTATGAGTCGTGGCACGAAATGCCTAATAGTAACAAAAATCAGGCATTGGATTTTGTTAAGGTAATAATGTATTTATGATAGTTTCATCTATAGAAATTCAATACTAATGTATACTTACGGTGCACACTTATTTGCTGTATAGGAGAAATTTTCTTTAGAGGTCTCTGACGATTATGTGAAGCAAGCGTTAGGGAAGAGATGGAGGGACCACAAGAGCTCCTTAAAGAAGAAATACTTCAAGAATGATCTCAGCCTTGAAGAGAAGCTGCAAACAGTCCCACCTGGAATGCTCAGGTACCAATGGGAAGATGGAGTTAGATTTTGGAGTTCACAAAAAGGACAGATATAATGTATTTTTCAGAAATAATTGTAACAAATTATAAATTATCATTAAAAGTGGTTGTTTGACATTGTAGGATCGAGAGCATGTTGGTGTTGCTAGCAGGCAACATCAAAAGTTTACGCATACGACTGGATCGAAGAGTTTTGCTTGTATTGCTAATGAGGAAGTATTATAGATTATTGACATTGTTTTTTATATTCCATGTACATACTAACTCATAGTAATTATATTATGGTACATTGTAGGAAAATACATCCGGTTCTAAAGTTGGTCGAATCCAACTATTCGACATGACACATACGAAGAAGGATGTCACTCAATGACTACTGCAGCTGCAGAAATTATGGTACGTTTATTGGGTAGATATTTTTAAATTTACCTGACTTTATTTATATTTGTACCATGACATTTTTTATTTTATTTAATTATTCACCTTATTATTAGGAAAAATTGAGGGAGAAAAGTGCGGAGTATCATGCTACTGGTTCGAGTCAAGGTCTTGTTAATGACGATGACATTGAAAACTGAGCTATTAATGACGTTTTGGGTCCTGAAAGATATGGCCGGGTGCGTTGTCAAGGATCATTTGTTACTCCCACCAAATATTTTGGATCCAGTTCATCATAGTACATGTCATCACAATCTCAATCTTCCTAATTAGAAGTTAGTCATTTAAAACAAAAGTTGGCTGAGATGGATCAACAAATGGCTAACTTGAAAACGAAAAATGAAGCAAGGGAAGCAGCGACAGAACAGAGAGAAGCAACATATCAATAGAGATGTGAAGAATTTGAAAAACGACTTAATGATATGATGCATATGATACAGAAAACTCAATCTCAAAATCCACCATCATAGTCTCATTTATGTTATCAGCATTCTGTTAATGTTACTGAACGTTGTTTAACTGAACTTATATTACGTTAATGAAAACTTTTATTTTTTATATTGGATTTGATGTTGCTTGTTATGGATATAGAGTTTGATGTTATTGCTGTCATGTTTGTTGGATAATGTAACAGGTTGAAAAAATAGATTTAGGGTAATCGACAATAATTTTTTAATTTGTTAAATTGTGTGTTATATAGAGGCATTTGTAACAAAAAAACACCGCAATATATCAAACATTTAGCTGTGTTTGTATAAAAAAGGCCGCAAAATATTAACACCTATTGTGGCATTTTTTTGTAACAAACGCCGCTATATAAACATTTAGCGGCGTTTGTATACTAAAAATACCGCTATATACCAAACTTTTAGCGACGTTTGTATCCTAAAAATGCCGTTATATACCAGATCTTTATCGGCGTTTGTATCCTAAAAACGCTGCTATATATCAGATCTTTAGCGGCGTTTGTATTCTAAAAATGCCGTTATATACTAGACCTTCAGTGGCGTTTGTATCCTAAAAACACTGCTATATACCAGATCTTTAGCGGCGCTTGCATCCTAAAAATGCTGCTATATACCAGACCTTTAGCGGCGTTTGTATTCAAAAAACGCCGCTAAATCTCAAAACCTATTACGGCATTTGTAAGACAAATGCCGCTAAATATCAGCACCTATTACGACTTTTGTTGAAGAAATGCCGCTATATATCGTTACCTATTGCGGCGTTTTTCGTTATCAAACGCCGCGAACTTTAGCGGCGCTATTTTCAGCAGCGCTTTTTGCGGCGTTTGTCATAACGCCGCAGGTTTTTTTGCGGCGCTTAAAAACGTCGCAAAAAGCTTGTTTTACTGTAGTGTGTAGCTGACAAACTTGCTGCTTTGGCGAGGGGTAAAACAATAGGGATATTGGTTCTTTTCCACAATCCTCCAAGGGAAGTAGCTGATCTAGTTAGTATGGAAGCTAGTTCCATAAGCTAATTTTGCTTTGGTTCTTTTCTGGATTATCAGAAAAAAAAAATCATTATGGTTAAATATTACAGCTTAAATTTTAGGATTAGTTTTATTAAGTGTATTTAAATATATAATTTGACACTTTAGTTAGGTGAAGCCTCAATTAACTCATTTAGAGTAATTAGGTTCAATAATTGGTTGTTTGGTTGCATAACTCAGTTTCAAAAATAAAACGCAATATTCATTTATTAGGGATTAATAGTGTTTCCTCCGCTTATGCTCAAGATTAACCATTACTATTTTATGAAATAAATCAACACCCTTTTCAAATTTTTGAATCATGATTTCAAATGTATTAAAGCAATGTTTATTTATTATGATTAATGATGAACCTCCGCTTATGCTCGGGATAATTATTATTAATTCCTAAATAAATATATTTTTTAAATCATCGTACATAACAGATCATAAATTAAATAAAACTTCCAACTTGTAATTTCTATTTTTTAAAAAAATGGATAATCAACTAAAGACTAATTTTGATCGTTGTGAGGGTTTTAATCCTTTCTAATACGTAACTGACTCTCAAATCCATTTTTTGATTTCACATATCAAAGAAGGTAGTTTAGTAAAATTAAACTTTTATTAAAATTACCTAATTTTATGTGGTTCAATCCACTTTAAAAACGATTGGTAGTGACTCTTATCATTTTACAATATTTTCAAAATTCGTCATTATCCCAAAAAATCGTTATGACAATAACCAAATATTGTTTTTATTGTCCTACCTTCTGAGGAGTTGTTTCTCTTTATTGTTTGTATACTCTATTAGTCGGATGAGCTTTGAGTTTGATTTTCTTTCTCTTTATGCTTTTGGGATATCTTAGTTCGTAAGTTGGGCGAAGTTATTTTCGTGCATATATTTGTGCCACATAAAGGATTCTCAATGCTCGAGTGTAGTTTCTTAGCTTGGGTGGCTTTAGTTTAAGCTCTTTTGTGTTTCTTCACGGAAGTTTCTCCATGCTTTATTAGGTGAATTGTTTGGATCGATAACCACATAGTTGAAGCTTAAAGATTAATCTTGTAAATACTATAAAGTTCATGGATTAAATGCGTGATTTTACCATGCCAAAATTCAACTTTTGCAGCTACTTTTCCAATCAAATTTCGGTGGAATTATTTTTTCTTCAACTTTCCACCGAAAGTGGCTATCAATTTGGCCACTTGATGTTGTCTTTTCAACAATCTCCCACTTGAAGATTTGATTGGAACAAGCATATCTTCACACCATTCTTTCTATCTTGTATCTTCATGTTGCTTACGTTTCTGTCAGGTCACAAGAGGATCGTCACCAAGTAAATTTATCACCATTGATCGCTTTTGTCATGAAATATGCTATGCTGTCTTTGGTATGGATTTTCTGCATATCTATCATCCATTCTTCCACGTTTTCATGAATGATGTGGTACTGAACTTGTATGTGTTTTGTTCTTGAATGAAATGATGTATTCCTTGCAATATGCAAGGCTCTTTGACTGTCACAAAATAGAGAGACATACTCTTAATTGTGCCCAAGCTCCTACAATAGCATATTCAACCAGATTACTTCTTTACTGGTTTGTGTAACTGTTGTATATTATACCTCTGTTGTGGATGTAGCCACAACTGACTGCAATTTTAAAACTCAGCTTATAACTCCACTAGTAATTTTAAACACATATCATGTAGTAGATTTGCTTTTATCCAAATCCTCTGCATAGTCAGAATCAACATACCCATTGATAAGTGTACGCTATTTGTGAGTACTATATATGGGTGCAGAAATATGTGCAAGTATACACAATCGAACAAGTAATACAGTGATGAGTGAGTATCGTCTCCACAGGGATTGGAGGAAATTGATAAGTTCAATCAAAGCTCTTTACTATGTCACCTAAGTAAAGTTAATAATGTTATTTGCAAATGAAAATGCTATGGCAAAATGAATGGATGTTGTGGAAATTGTCTGATGGTGATATGGTAGTAAATTGAGATGTTATGGCAAATTGAATTGTGCTGAGTGCAATCAAATGAAAATGTAAAGGTAAAATAAATTGTAAATATTGGATTTGCTTATAAGGACTTTAGACTCCTCACATGACAAGCTACTATGGTAATGAGTGATAAGAGTTACTTAGGAAATTTAAGTCTACTTCTCAGAATGGTCTTACTTCTATGCCTTCTCTGCCCGAAAGAGTTGACTAAGGGTGCCCTATGCTATCTCTAGTAAGGGACTCGACAGATTGAAGATGCCTTGGCAAAACCGATTGGCGTTAGCTACTGCAGGGATCCTATTGGTCTAGATAACAGGATATGTCTCGGTAATACCTTTTTGCGGCAGCATTAACATCTAACCTATCGCTCATACACAACTCTTTTTAGTCGAATGAAATCCTAGCCTTATCTCTAAGGTGGATTAGGCCTATTTACTATCTAGAACCCCTTGCTTATATGGTTCCTCCCTAGTTTCTCTCGAACACTAAGGACGTGCTACCTAGACATTCTCTCGAACACTAAGTAATCTCCTAAGGAACGACTACTCTCGTAGCTCCTACAACCTTAAGGCACTAAGCTTCATAAACAAAACATAATATAACATAGAAAAATAACCATTCATTAAAGCAAAACTTAAATATCCAAAATAAACTCCCACCAAATAGGATTAGTTCATGGTGGGGTTCGAAATAAGCAAGCACAAAGCAAGTTAATCCGTTCCTTACAACCCAAAAGATAAATATGAAAGCAAAGAGCAAAGGGAATGAGGAAAAGCCTTCGACGTGCACTGTCGGAGCTTCCCTCGGCCACCACGATCTGTCCCAGTGATATAGATCCTCTCGGACGCCTAGATCGCCACTCCTTCTAGCTTGTCAACAGAGGAATGCCATGGCAAAAACGATTGACGAAAAAAAAGAGAGATCTTTTTCTCTAAATTTTTAGGCTCTTGGCAGCTGTCTAAACTTCTCCAAAGTCTCTCCAAAAAGTCATGTTTCATCTCCTATTTATAGGGGAGAATGAACATAGGGTTTTGTGTTAAAATTACACTAGCACCCTAAAGTTCATTCCTTTTATGTGAGAGTCGATGCAAAGATGGTAGCTGGCCCCTCCATTATGGCTAATTGCAAAAAGCACTTTTTATGCCATGACAGCTGGCTCTTACTAAAAATATTCTTCTTTCGTTTTGATCGCTCTCGAAATGCCAACTGGTTCAGCATTTGCATTCTGCTCAACAGTCTCCTTATGTCATGGCATTTCCCTTTTGCTTTTCTTTGCTCCTAAATCCTGCATATCAGCAGACAAACACCTTCCCCATAAAGCAACACTGATTACAAAATAAAATGCCGTGACAAGCAGAATTTCGCCACATGCAACTATATGCTCCTAAATGCATCTATATGATCC